GGGAGATATTTCCATATTGAAATATAAACTTCTGTTCTTTTTCCACGGTTCTACTATATTACATTATTTAATCAGTCCTATACTGATAGACTTTTAGGGCCTTTTCTAGTCTTGATACTACAAATACTGTTGCATTGCAGCTTAAAATATTTCATGTTTGCAGGTATGTCTAGAAGGTAAATTCTGGATGTAAAATTGCTAGACACTGACAGATTGCCCTGCATAATGATTTTACCTCCCACAAGCAACGAATGAAATGTCTTATTTTCTAAGTCTCTTCAAAACGATGTTGTCAAATATTTCCATTTATCAATCTGATGGGAAAATACCCCAAAGTATAGACTTTGTTTTTTCATTGCCTTTTTCTCTCCTTTAAATGTATTTTATTGTATTTTGGGTAAAAGTTAACACAACTTCTTATGAAGCTTCCTTCATACACAGACACATACCCTGTATGTAGATGCATCAGTATGTGCCTACATTATACATACACATGGCTTTATTGTTGTCAAGTCGGGTGTGACTTACAGTGATCCTGCATATGGCTTATAAGGAGCAGCTGGTGGGTTTGAACCACTGATCTTGCTGTTAGCAGCCCAGTGCTGATCCTACAACACCACACCTACATATACCCTTATATCTGTATGCATTTGTATACCTGTATGTATGTATGTCATAGCATTTACCCATACTTCTTAGTGACATCATTTTCCCATGTCAGGCTGTGCACACTTCACCCATGTTTTACCTCCCATCACCGAAAATGACCAGTTTCTACAATGTCCTCTCAGTGTAGTTTTTAATAAATGAAGTTGAACACTTTTTATTTACTTGAGAGCCATTGAATTTCTTTTTTTCTGTGAGTGTAATAATGGTGTGTGGGGCCTCAGCTGACCTCCTTTGCTTTTTACAAAGGGGAAGATGAATCAAATGCCACATCAGCCTAAGGCCGATTCCTATGAGGCAGGGGTCAGAAATGCCTGCACCCTCTTTCCTCCTTTGCTAGTTCTAACACAGCACTGTACTTTTCTGCTGGGCTCTATAATCCGTTACAATGGCCACACAAATGCAGGCACACTCATGCACAATTGTGGGCTTTGTTCAGGATGTTATCAGGTTATAATTCAGGATCAGAAATGCTCAGTTTAGGATTCTTCCAGTTGGTAGCATCACTTTTCAGCTGTGCCCACAGGCACACTTCTCTCTGGTCCTTGGCCTCTGGCCTGCTTGGGCAAGTGTTAAAAAGTTCCTTTAGCACTGCTAATAAATTCCCAAAGGGGACCCCATTGCTGAAGCCGGAGGCCAGCTCCACAGGATAGCAAACTCCAACGAAGTGCCTAGAGTCAAGCTACTCCCCAAGGGAGCCCCCACTTGTTCCCTTGGGGCTGGATGGCTCACTGCTCTGTCTAGTGCTCTTGTTACTGCTGCCACTGTTTCTCCAGGGTCATGGTCTGTGTCTGTTTCTTCTCTGGTATCACAGCTCTGTCTCCTGTATTGAGGAGGTTCCATTTGTAAGGATCTCAGGGTCCAAATGAGGCACTCGATTCCTGGCTCTTCTTTCATGATGGTAGTGAGGGCCCCTATTCCTGCTTCTGAGGTGGTCAAACTAGTGGGCTAGCTCACCAACGAATTCCCTCATTAGATTTCCACACCCCTCATTTGCATAGTCCTACCTAGGCATTTGATGGGTATTAATAAAGATTATGACTACAGGAGTCATTTCAAGTAATTCAGGTTCTTGGTCTTTGTTTCTAGGAACTCTCTTAGGGAGACTAAGTTAAGTCACTCTTTGTGCTAATAGGCACAGCTAGTTCTCCTACTTTTGTCATATTGTAATATTCCTTTTTTATATAGTCACATCTCTGTCTTGCCTTCATAGTCTGCCACAGTTATAGAGGAATTCTCGGTCTTTGGGTGTGCCCGTGGAAGGTGGGGTGCAGCTGTGCCTCTTTGGGGCCATCCTGAGGAGTTGCATAGGCCCCATTGAATTGACTACGTGACGCCATATAAACGCAGTGGAAGTGTGTTCAGCCAGCAGTCTGTCTGCTCTTGGAGGGGAAGGGCAGAGATAGGAGGCCACTTGGGGGCAGCTGTAGGTGGGAGAAACTTGCTGAATGATTCTGAGTTCCTTTTTAGCACTTGGAAAATAGTTCTCTAGTAAGCAGCTCTTAATAGATTCTCCTGCTCCTCAGACTTTGGAATGTACTTTTTTCTCTTGTGAGGGTTCTATGGCCCTGAAGTATTGTGGCAGATGGTCCTGGGTGGTAAGTCGCACTCCTCATGGAGGACTACGGATCAGGTGCTGTGACAATTCATCCCTTACTCTGTCCTGGGACTTGCTTCACCCTGGGCTGTTATCTATGCTGAAGCAGCAAGATTCCCCAGTAATCCCAGGAGACCTTTTGCTAAGCTTACTGAACAAATTATTTCGAATGTTAGGGCCCTAAAACTTGTTCTCAGATGAGCAGGGACTACCACAGAGCCATTCCACCTGGGATCTCCCTCCTCCTTGTTCGTCTTAGTAGTGTCCGTGCTTCCATGCCTGGTTTGCAGACTGGTCTCATTGTCTGCAGGCTCTTTGCCCAACCAGATGTATCTCTTCCAACCACAACTCAAACCTTTCTGATGCCTTGTGGTTTGATGTAGTCAGGCTTCTGGGATTTTCTGCTGGGTGTGTGGGGGGGGGGGGCGGGGTGGGTAACCCATCCTACACAGGTGGATCTTGTCAAGCAGGTGTAATAGCTGGCCACGTTCTAAGTAGGCCTTGATTAGACTGTGAGGGCCTGCAAGTATCACTAAGTTCTGGAGGCAAAGGCCTCTATTGGCTTCCTCTGGCTTCCAGACCAAAGTACCGAGTGACCCAAGAGCAGAGCATCCCAGAAGACTCTGATGTGGGCTAGGAGCTGGCTGACCCTGGAGTCAAGGCTCCTGGGTCAACTTACTTTGTATGAGGTAGATTTTGACTTCATACACAAATGGTCTGTTCTTCAATTATGACCTTAGGCTTACATGGGTTTCTATGCCTTATTTCAGATACGAAAGTCTGTGAGACTTGATGGAGTTTTAGCAGGGTTTGAGCCAGAGAGCTCCATTTTAATAGTCTTGGTACACAGTTGTGTCCTGGTGGCTGACTCTAGTTGTGGTGGGAGGGTCCTCAGTTCTGCACCCCTGAGTGGTTGCCTTGTATGTCTTCCTTGACCTTCACCCCCCATGTGTCCTGGCTTTTGTCTTGCCAGCATGCCAGTGTGGAGAGCACCCCATCCCTCCAGTCTTCAGCCACCTTCTCAACAGCAACAACCTCCGCCTCGAGTGCCACATCCTCAGGGGTCAGCCTTCCCAGTAGCATGAACCCAGTGAACAGCCTCTGCCTGGGTGGGACCACCGTGAGTGCGGCCAGCAGCAGTACCAGGGCCGCACCCTTGGTCACCTCAGGTATGTGCTCCAGGGGCCTCCCATCAGATGTGTGCATTTGGCCTCACAGGCAGAATGCCTGGAGATGGCTGCCAGCATCAGTCTCATCTTCACCCACTGCTGGCTTGTGGTGGTCGTCTTTATGCTGCCTTAGGAGCTGGTTAGAGTCTGGGTACATGGGTGGTGACTTAGGCAGGACTCTTGGCAGTCTTTGTTTTCCTTGCTCCTCAGTCTTTTCTGTCCTGTTTTTCCTTGAGCTGAGATGACTTGGCGACTTGGGTTGCTCCTGGCTGCTCTTGGTGACCCATCAGCCAGGATAAGCTTGTCCTGGTAGTCTGTGTGGTACAGCAGACTGCTAGGGCAGAAAATGCTAAACCCACCTTTGCAACAGTTTCCCTTCTCTGGGTTCTGCCTGGCCTGCCCCACTCCTTGTGTGCTGGGGGCCAGATTGTTCCTCCTGTTGAGATTTGGTCAGTGCTGTGTGATTTTTAAGGATGGGTGAGTGGTGCCTTGTCACTTCATTAAAATGTTGCCTTGCAGGCAAAGCGCCCCCCAACCTGCCCCAGGGGGTGCCTCCGCTGCTGCACAACCAGTACATCGTGGGTCCAGGAGGACTGCTTCCCGCCTACCCGGTGAGCGCACGGTGGAGCTCTTGGCCGGCCCCAGCACCTCTGACCTCAGGGGCTGGCACCTGGCAGGACCTGGTGAGGGGGGCTTTGGGTTGGGCTGGGGGTGCCCGCCTTGGGCTATTGCATTTTCCTGAGTTCCCCTTTCTCTGCCCTCCATTCCCGTCTAGACCCATAAAGGCAGAATATACTTCCCACAGCACTTGCTTCAGGCCCCTTTCCCATATCCCCACCCTTGTGCTGGCTTCCCATATGGGCCTGGGCATCCTGGGGAGGAGTGGTCCCCAACATGCCCTTTCTGGTCCTTACAGATTTATGGTTACGAGGAACTCCAGGTGCTACAGTCCCGGCTGCCAGTGGTGAGTGGGGTGGGGCCGGTGGTCCGTTGAGTCTCCTCTGGCCTTGATTCCCCGGCCAGGCCCTCAGGAGACAGACCTAGAGCACCTGTCAGCACTACCACTTAGATGGCTGATTCCAGGCTGGGCGGAGCCCATAGCTTGGGCATATGAGTGTTCTTTGGTTTTCCTTGGGAAGCAAGAAGGCCATTGGGCAGTGACCCCAGTATGCAGCTCCCCTACTAAGTGTGGGCCCATCTCTCCTTCCCACTGTTTTTTCTGAGAAAACCTATGAAATGAGCATGAGGTTGCTTATAAAGCTTCCTAAGTCTTAAAGCACCAGTGTGTCTCTCAACCCTTCACAGCATCTCCCTGGTCTGGCCTCCCATCCTGTGCTGGTCCAGGTTGTTCCCTGGTTAGTACAGAATCCCTGTGAGGTTGGACTTGCTTCTGTGCCCCTGGACATGGCCACATGCATTCACAGGATTTCAGTTGAGGGCATGGGAGCAGGCAATTGGCCTTCCTGGACAGCCACTCCCTTCTTACTCCAGCATTTCCCAGACTTCTAGTCAATTCAGGCAGCTCAGGGCATCCGATAGAGACTGTCTGATGGTGGAAGCCGTTTGGACAGCAGGTGTCCCCTCTACTGGATGTGGTCTAACCTGTTCCCGAAGGAAGCAGCTCTCTTCCCCAGGGAGGTACCACCTGTTGCACTTCGCCAGCCACAAAGAGCTCAGGGATGTACTGGTACCTCCTGGTCTTGGCCTGGACAACCTCCCAGATAACAGCTGTGAAAGCTCTTGTCCCTCAGGAACTTAATCTTCCAGAATTATTTCCTAAGTTAGAGCCCTGTGGCTGGGGGGCTCGTTTGCCATGTTGCACCAGCAGCTGCACATCCCAAAAAGTTAATAAGATGGCAGATCTCAAAGGAGGTTCATGGATCTGAGGTCTCAGGCAATGCTTGGGCCTTAGGGCTTTGTGAGGGAATGGGACGTGACCTTGGTCCTCACATGCTCAGGAGGAAACTTCTAAACCCTCTGGTCCAGTAGCCTCAGGGCATTCCCGGTGGAGTGCAAGAGGTGGTCCTGAGAACTGTTATACCTGCCGGACTTTTCCCCTGTGCCAGGGCAGAGAGACCTCTCAGCCAGTTCTGGGCCTCTTTGTCCCCAGAGTCCTGCTTGCACCCCCACCCCACTGGCTCCTGCTCTTTAGAACTTTTCTCACAGAATCTCTGGGAGAGATGGATGTGTGAGATTGGGTCTCTAGTACTCTGCCTGGAGAACATAACAGGTTGGTCCAGTTAGTCGAGCAAGGGCCACCGTGCTACCCCACAGTGCCCATCACCACTCCCGCTGAGTTCTACATGTGCTGCCCTCTGGATGTGACGTCCTGCTGCGCGTCTGTTCTCCCCGGGGGACGAGACCACTTTGCTGATGGAGCCCTGGTCTCTCCTAGGATTACTATGGAATTCCCTTTGCTACGCCCACAGCCCTTGCCAACCGAGATGGGAGCCTAGCGAATAATCCATATTCAGGTTTGTTTGTTCAGTGGGCGGGCTGATTGCAAGAGTATAAATCAGAAGGGCTCCAGGCCACCTCAATTCCACATGGGAGCTGGCAGCCAGGCCTGCGCGTCTCTGGGAACCGGGCTGGTTGCATCTGTTTCAGTAGGAGACACCAACCCGAACCAGTGCTCCTCTTTCCCTAGGTGACGTCACCAAGTTTGGCCGAGGTGACTCTGCATCCCCTGCACCCCCCACCACACTAGCGCAACCACAACAGAGTCAGCCTCAGAGCCACCACACAGCCCAGCAGCCCTTTGTGAATCCCACGCTGCCACCAGGCTACAGCTACACTGGCCTCCCGTACTACACAGGCGTGCCCAGTGCCTTCCAGTATGGACCCGCCATGTTTGTGAGTATATGTAGGATGGGGAGGGTCAGTCTGCCCTGTCCTTGGCGAAAGCTAAACTGAGACCTAAATTCCAGCGTATGGGAGTAATAGCAGAGGTTGGTGTCCCCCGAGTCTTCAGGAAAGGTTGGGCTGAGGGCATTAGTTCTTTTCGGGTTTTGGTTCCAGCATGTGTTAATGCCCCCTTGGTTGTGGGTTTGCCAGCTGTGCCCAAGTCTGAGGCAGGGGACCCTACTTGCCCATCAGGTCCCTCCAGCCTCAGCCAAGCAGCATGGTGTGAACCTCGGCACCCCCAGCACGCCTTTCCAGCAGGCCAGTGGCTATGGCCAGCACAGCTACAGCACTGCTTATGATGACCTGACCCAGGGGACAGCAGCTGGAGACTACACCAAAGGCGGCTATAGTGGATCATCACAAACACCAAACAAGTCTACAGGTTCTGGGCCTGGCAAAGGTAGTGTCTACCCTTCCTTCCCATGACTGAAACCCTGAGTAGTTGTCTCCTACCCTGACTCCCTTTTGGGTAAGACGACCCCAGCGTTCCCCTGGAGCTGGGGCCACCTGCTGCGAGAAACAGTGGTTTTTCCTTCCAGGACCATCAGTGTCTTCAAGCACCACTGGTCTACCTGATATGACTGGTTCTGTCTACAACAAGACTCAGGTGAGGGGAGTGCACCAGGTGGACAGGTAGAGTGGTGTGAGGTTCACCTGAGCCTGACACGCTCTTCTTTGCCCTGCAGTCTTTTGATAAGCAGGGATTTCATGCAGGAACCCCTCCACCATTCAGCCTGCCCTCAGCCTTGGGCTCCACTGGGCCTCTGGCCCCTGGAGCTGCCCCTGGCTACGCGCCTCCCCCGTTCCTGCACATTTTACCTGCCCACCAGCAGCCCCACTCTCAGCTGCTGCACCACCACCTCCCACAGGATGCCCAGGTGAGCCCTCTACTGGGGACAGTCACCCTGCCCTGGGTCAGGGGCTCCACTCCAGCCTTCATTGCCTTCTTTCCTCCTCAGAGTGGCTCTGGTCAACGCAGCCAACCTAGCTCCCTGCAGCCCAAGTCCCAAGGCTCGAAGCCCGCCTACGGCAACTCTCCATACTGGACAAACTGAACCTTGAAGAGGGGTGGGCTGGGGTGGGGCTTACCCCGGGCAGAGAGAACACATGGAGCCTGGCACCCGTTTTCTAGAATTTCTGAGACGTTAACTGTGTCAGCAGAGCCTCTGGGGAGCCTGCCCCCAGCCTCGCTGTTGTATGTAATGTATTTATGTATGTATTTGTAAATGGGATAGACGTCTTGGGGTCGTGGGGGCGCCCCTCTTCCAGCTGTAGCAAAGCAAGCCCCCTTCCCTCTGCCCTCAGGCCGTGTCCATACAGCCCCCTGCCCACCCACCTGCTAGCAGCAGTCTTTGGAAAGGCTGGTTCCAGGCAGTTGGGGTCAGGTACCAATGAAGAATCACGACTTGTTTCACTCCATTGTAAACATTATTTGAGGCGTTCCCCTATGTAATTACCTTTTTTTTGGGGAGGAGGGGGGAACTTTTGTCACCTGACCTGGGACTAGCAGAACCCCCTAACGCCTCCCACCCCAACAGAACTGGGCACCTGCTTCTCTTCTGCTCAGGTCTGTCCCTAGAGACTTGCCTTTCTCGGGCTGACCAGGCAGCACCCCCTTTTAAAAAGAATCAGAGACAGGATTCCCCTTCTGTGAGAGCGCATCTCCGGGCAAAGGCTCCTCTACCCCAGTTGTCCCCAACCAGCTGGACAACTGCTTCAGGGTTTTTCTCTTTTCACCCAAACTCCACCTAATAAAGTTCTGAGAGCATGCGTGGTCTTTGTGTGGTGACTGAGGGCGGAGCGAAGACACATGCTGTCCCAGAGCTGAAGTGGCTATATATAAAAGGCCCTTCTCTTGCTTCTCTCCAGCCAGTCAACGTCCAGGGATTGAAAAGGTAAATGATAAGGCTGAAAAAACAGGCCTCCAGACATGGCATCAGCAGTGTTAACTGCTATTCTTGCAACCCTGTCACAGACTTACGAAAAGGGTACTCATTCTTCCTAAACTTCAGATGACATTACAGCCTTATTTATGCAAATCCAAAAATTGAGAGCAATGTTCTAGGGCTGAGATAAAATATGAGGGACTATTTGAGGAAGTTTATGGAAAGAAAAAAAAGATGGAATTTTCCCACCAACTTTTTGAAGTCCCCTGTTAAGTCTACAGGTGCAGTACTACCTTGTAAACCTGTCCATCCTTTGCTTTTCATCAACCACTCAATCTTAATAGGGGTCAACCAGTGGTAGAAGAGATAACTACTAAGTCAGAATGGCATAAAGTTAGCAAGTAGGTCTAAGCTAAATGTCTGCTCCATAAAGTCACAAGAGGCCAGGATTCTGAGCAACCCTGCAGGGTTCCACTCTTCCCTCATGCTTCCAGGCCACCAGTATAGGAGTCCTTCACAGCTACTATGCTCCAACCAGGCTACATAGATGAACAAAGAGCTACTTCAAAGTCAATACTGGGTTAGTCCAGGGGCACTGGCTTCCCTTTTCTGATCTTAGCCTCTGAAGTCACCTAGCTGCAGCAGTCACTTCATTGGTCGTTCACCTGTTAACACAGTTTGGGACTGTGGTTAGAAAAATGGGCAGTGTTCACAACTGTAACTAAGAACTTTTGTTAAGCAATGTGTTGTGCCCTATCTACCTCTGTAAGACAATAATGGTGAAAATAAAGTGCTTGCCTAAGGAGAGCAGTAGAGCACTCCTCTAGTCCTTCCTTATCTGTTCACATTAGCAGACTGTGCCCTACTTTAAAGTTACATTAAAAAGCTCCTTTAAACATTAGTGAGAATTGGGATGTGTATAGTTACCCATGAAGGTAAATGCCACTGGGCAGGATGTTCTAAAAAAACAGGTCAGTGAGTCTTCAGTTTTCAACTGATTTCTGGATGTAAATAACCTGAAATGTAACAGCAAGCAAAGATATTTAGAGACTTAAAAAAAAAAGGATGATCCCATAGGGAAGTAGCAATACAGGTATATTTTATTTCACATTTTATTAGTAGACAGATGGGCAAAAAGACAAAATAAAGCACTAAAAGGAAAGTCAACACAAAATGCATCAGATAATCCTTTCTCATAAGTTAAACTGAAGAAAAACATCTACAATTTCAACTAAGAAAACTATTAAAGTCAGGTGAGTCCTTGCTGGTTTCAAAATAGTTGAAAATTGCATCTGAATCTTTATAGTTGTAAATGTAAACCTTGTTTACCAGGATGGAAGGAGTGGAGAGTTAATTTTCAGTGGAGAACTATACATTTTCCCCTTCAATCTCTTACTGTGTTATGTCCCAAACAAAAGGAGGAAACCAGCAAGTAAAGAAGCAAATAATTATCGGGAATAGGGAAAAAAGGGACTACAAAAGTTTGGCTAATAGAACAGAACTCTGGAATGATGATAGGAAGGTGGTGGAAGGAGACTGAGAAAAGCAACAAGGGAATCCTGATGGTACACTGTTCTCCCCAGCCTCCAAATACACAGAACTAAGGGAGCATCCAGTGAGGTCTCATCTAGAATCAGAGGCAGTCTACTAAAGTTCGTGTCACCAAATCATCAGCACAACTGTACTCAACAAGATTCTGGCATGAGCCTGAGACTTCCATTCCCCAAAAGAAAAAACAAAACAAAAACAAAACCAATTACATACTCATTAGTTCCCCCAGAGGATGTGTTCCAGGGACAGAGCTCTTGACCTAACATCTGGATTTCATAAGTCAGGTTGTGCTTACAGGTAACACACCCCACAGTCTTTTCTAGAACTGATTACACTCATCAGAGGTGAGTTTGGCCTTCAATAGTAACATGGTAAAGGGCTGAGAGGTACAACCTCCACCTGGCTCTCTGGCTCCCTGAGTCAATGTGCAACAGAGGCTGTTAAGACCTAATGGGACAGGGCTGAGCAGCACAGCACCTCCCACCAGGTGAAGGTACCTGGCCAGACCTAGGGAAGATGCTTCAGCAGGAAGGGGAAAGGCAGGCTCAATGGTAGGGCGCCAGGAGTAAGACCAAGCAGCTGACTGTGAACCCAGGTCGGGGAGGGGTGAGATCAGAGACTTTGGCTCCATTAGATCTGCAAGTTATCTGGATGCATCACTTAAGAAATGTAGGGAGTAAAGAGCTACTTCCGGAATCATCCTCTGAGAGTTTGCAGCCAGACAACTTGAGAGCATTTTGTCATAAAGAGCTCTTTTGTTCCCTAAATCTGGCTGAAATTACTAGCTTCAGGGGTACAAGTAACAGCCCTGGCCCCATGGGGATTGGGCGTAAAGCTTACAGGACCAGGCTCATCAATGTCCCATAGGAACTTTCCACTTTAAATATTCCTGCTTAATATCAGACCACACATTTTGGAGGTTAGAGGGGACTGCTAGGGGAGTAGTCAGCAAATGTTTGGAGATTGAAGAGTGAATGAAAACCCTGAGATCAGAAAGGAAGGAGGAGCTGAGGAAGGAATCCATCTATTGCACCCTGCCCAGAATCAGCCCTTTGATTCTTTCTGGGCTACAATCTGAAGCAAAGGGAGTTGGCAGGAGTGCACAAGGTCCTGGAGTTAGGCTTTGTTGTATTTTCCTTCCAAAATCTATGATTTTACATTTTAGAGGTTTTCCCTACTGACAGAATCTTGCTCCATGGCCTCCTCCACCCCCATAAGAAACCAAAAATCAACCTCAAGTTCTGAAGTCCCTGGTTGGTGAAGACTGCTGGATCTCAATACTGATTGAAGCAACACATGATTGAGAACAGGGACTCCAGCTGCAGGACCTGCATGGCCTGCAGCCACCTTCCTCGCCCTGCCAAAAGAGCCAAAGCAGCCCAAGGCAAGCTCCATGCACATCTGCTTGCACTCCACAGCCAAAGCACAATGGAAGGAGAGAAAAGTCCAGATCACATCCAATGAAGAAAGCGGAACTCATACATTTATCACAATTGGTCAAAGCAGCTCAATGAAAACCAAAACCTTAACACATGCACCTAGGATTAATACTGAGTAAAACTGGCTACTTAACTTCTCCTCCCTCCCCCACCCCCCACGGTCAGAGTGTTATCTTTGAGGTGAAGGCCATGGGAAAAACAAAAAACAGGTCTCCTCTCCCGACAGTGGTCACCAGTAGTTCTGACTTTTCCCCAGCAGCATCAAACCCCCTCCACACACCCCCCCCCAAAAAAGGCATAGTGATTTTTAACCCTTCACTCTTGTTCTCAGCGCTAAAACTCCATATGGACGCACTACTCCCCACATCCTCCCCACCCTCCCTGCTCCCTGGGGGAAAAATAACAAGCTTGCCTTTAAAATAAATAGCAACCAAGTGCTCAGTTCTATGCAAAGTATGAATATTTATTTTAGGTTTTAGATCCCAATTGATTTCAAAAACAAATTCTGATTACTCTCCAATTGGCTGGGGCCTCTGGCAGGATGATCTCAAGCAGGCTAAGTATGTCCATGTGCTCGAGAACCCACTACCAAGCTCAGCACGAAGTCCCCAACATCCACTGTACCCCAGCCTCAGCAAGGAAAAGAAAAAGAAAAAAAAAAATTCGTCACCATGGGGCTGAATAAATGCATACATACTAATGTAATGAGCAGCTAACCTTGGCAAATTTGTTTTGTTTTGTGGGGGGGTTGTATGGGTTTGTTTATTCATTTTCTTTTGCTACCCAGTATATGCAGCACTTGTAAACTCTCAATGGGTTCCCAGCCTTAAATACATTAAACATCTTGATGAATGACTATTTCTTCATGAATCTAAAAACAAACCAAATGTGTTTTGCTGTGAACACTTTGTAGAGACGAAGTGAGGCGGGAGAGTTTGGGTTGTTTTTTTTGTTTTGCTTTTTTGTTTTTTGTTTTTTTTTTTAAAAAAAGAATCAATACAGTGATGGAAGGGAAGAGAATGCAAGAACTCAGCCATTCTGTGGAGGGTCACTTTCTCTCCACTAAGAGGTCCATAAAAAGGAGCAAACTGAGATCCATAAGGGGAGTCAGCAGGAGGAGCCGTGTTTGTTTTCCCCACCCCCTGTGAATAGGTTTTTGCTGAGGGGCCACTGCTAGGT